GAAACATGACAATTATATACATAATGTAAGGATTTTAATATTTGTATGGAGACTTGCTTTTTATTTACTGTTATACACTGTGTCTTGGAAAGGTGACCCAGTCATCACTTCTCTTCAGCTTACTCCTGATGAAAGAATTAAAGATTTTCTGAAACGCATCATGATTCTTGCTGAATCTGCTGAACTCATATTGCTTCCCCATCGTCCAAAGAGGATATGTATTTATGTGTTTTGCATCAACATGTATAATTTGTAAGATGTACTCAGCCACCGTATTGATTATTGATTGTAATTTTTCTTGTTTTTGTAAAATGTAATGTTTTAAACATTTATAACAATAAAACTTTGTTTTTTTACATATATGCTGAAGTTGCCTTACAAGTCCCATGTACTCTTTTTGGAGATCATCTACCTAAAGACATGAAGACATATAGCATAATACATTTTATCCTAAATTTATGAAGAAATTAGATTTTTTTTTATTGGATATGTTTTATAGCAGAAAGTTAAAAAAAAATATATATATATATATATATATATATATATTTTTTTTTAAATTTTCGGACATTTAAAAAAAACAGTGGTGATAAAAAACTACAAAAAGAAAGCTCTATTTGTGTGAAAAAAATGATATAAATTTAATTTGGGTACAACGTTTAATGACTGCACAATTGTCAGGTGAAGTAGCGCAGTGTGGCATAGCAAAAAAATGGCCTGGTCATAAAGGGGGTAAAATCTTCTGGAGGGCAAGGGGTTATACTATGACTACAAGCCTACAAGGCACTTATACCCCCTTCCTGCCCAGGCCAATTTCCAGCTTTCAGCGCTGTCGCACTTTGAGTGACAATTGAGAGGTCATGCAACACTGTACCCATATGAAATTTTTATAATTTTTTTGTGACAGATAGAGCTTTATTTTGGTGGTATTTAATCACCTCTGGGTTTTTTATTTTTTCTTAAACAAACCAAAAACCACTGAAAATTTTGAAAAAAAAAAGTTTTTTCTTAGTTTTTGTTATAAAATGTTGTAAATAAGTGATTTTTCTCCTTCACTGATGTGCTAATGAGGTTGCAGTGATGGGCACTGATAGGCTGCACTGATGGACACTGATAGGTGGCACTGATGGGCACTGATGAGGAGGCACTGGTAGGTGGCATTGACAGGCATCACTTATGGGCACTGAAAGGCAGCACTGATACATGGCACTGATATATGGCACTGTTAGACGGCACTGACTGGCACTGTTAGGCGGCACTGACTGGCACTGTTAGGCGGCACTGACTGGCACTGAAAGGCAGTACTACTGACAGGCACTGATAGGCGGCACTGATGCACACTGATAGGCGACACTGACTGGCACTGATAGGTGGCACTGACTGGCACTGATAGGTGGCACTGATTGGCAGCACTGATAGGTGGCTCTGATTGGCATTGATAGGTGGCACTGACTAGCACTGATGGGTGACACTGAAAGGCAGCTCAGATGGGCACTGATATGTGGCATTGATGTGCACTGGTAGGCACTGATATGTGGCATTGATGTGGCACTGATGGGCACTGGCACGAGGCACTGATGAGCACTGACACAAGGCACTGATGGACACTGACAGGTGGCACTGCTGGGGCTACACTGATCATCAGGGCATACTGATCATCAGTGCCCTGATGATCAGTGTACATGTCCCCTCCGCGGAAAGCCGATTACTGGCTCTCCTCTCGAGCTGTCAGGGTGACATCTCGAAAGGAGAAAATTGCCGATAACCGGCATTTTCCTGTTTACATGTGATCAGCTGTGATTGGACACAGCTGATCACATGACCAAGCCGCACATGCACGGTGAGAATGGGAGGACGTCATATGATATCATCCCAGAATGAGAGAACCACCTTGCGCCCATCATATAACTATATTGCGGGCGGAAGGTGGTTAAAAAATAATTTGCCTACTTCTCCATTTTCACTGCTAGTAATCCCATAGAAGTTCATGATTTTCTTAGTGAACAATCACTGTAACAAAAGGAGAGCAGTCCATGTGAAAACACCTGTGAGTCATTAGCCCAAGACAACACTGCATGGCTACCAATCACTGTAGCACTGCAATGCATTCTGTGTAGCCCAGAGGAAACTGCCCCTATTATGAGAGGACCAGTTGGTTGTGTTTGCATCCCCAGCTAAAACTCCTGGTCCTCCTTTGTTTGGGACAATTACAGTAACGATATTAAAGCAGAACTAAGCTGTATCTGAGCACCACAAATCAAGAGCGCTATTTAATTCATTTTTAATATCCATCCATGTCTCCATGCTTTATTTTGTTGAGAAATCACATAGAAAAACACTTCCTAGCATTTCCGGCCTTGGCCATCCTGAGTAATGGCAGATGATTCATGTAGCATTTACTTCCTGGAATCCATTTGCCCTTAGATCAGGCATGTGGGCAGGAGGGTGTGCTTAGCTGAAAAAACCCTCCTCCCCTCCTGAAGACTCATTTGCCTAGACACAGAAACTAGGAAGTAATTACAGAAATGTAAAAACAGTTTTAAAACAAGTACATTTAATACACTTTTTTTCTATTTTTTTACTAATACTAGCAGCAAAAGAATTAAAAAAATAGTTAATTTTGACTGAGAGATTGAAGTTTCACTTTAATGTAATTTATATGTTTGTTTGTGTATCGGTAATCTCTGTTCCTGCAGATATTAGATATAGGATTTGATAATAATATGCACACTTGTTTGAGTGCATTCAAATACAACATATTTGTCATTCTCCTATTTTTTTTTTAAATTTTGTTTTCATTTTAACAATCTTTTCTAAGTTGTAAAAAAAGTATTTGTTTCTCCAGATTCAGTGACAGGGCATTAATAAATGTTACATCTGCTATCTATTCGCATAGTACATAATGTGAGTGCATTTGTCTGGATGAAATTTTAGTCAGCAGAGTCCTAAAATGAACCCTGGAACATACTGAGCAATAAATCTGTTTTCACTTATCAGTTAATCGGTACAAAGCTGTGTTGTGCAGCCAGACATAATGCATATATATATATAATGGGCCTTTCTGAGCTAAGGTGAACAGACCAAATGCAAACAATAAATATTTTAGCCTGACAGCTTCTCCCATGTACAATAGTGTGTGGACAGGGTACAGTATTTTTCACATGGAGCAAGGATTTTAGTTTAGTTTCAATAGTAGTTTTGTAATTGTAACAGGCAAAGCTAAAGTGTTACTAAACCCACAACAGTAAAATCAGTCTGTATATGCAGTAAATCATGCTTGTTATACTCACTGTGGAACCTAAGGGGTTAATCCTCCACATTGTGTAAAAAGGATGTTTGATCCTGTCTTCTCTGATCCTACCCTTCCACAGTTCCCAGTCCACCTCCTGATAGAACAGAGCCTTGGGGGCATGCTGCACATGCTCAGTTTCAAGGTTTTTTTCTTGGTAGAGTACATGTGATCAGCACAGGGCCAATCAGCACTGTCCAGACAGAGGGTCAAGGGTCCTGCAGCCTCATAGGACAGGGGAGAATGAAATCTCCTCCTACATGCTTTAACCAGTGCTCTGCGGGACACTGATAGAAATCACTGGCAGTAATAGCATGCAAAAGGCTGGTTGTACTGAAGTCAAATGAAGGATTGACTTCAGTACAACCAGCTTGCCCATAGATGGGTCAACTTTTGGCGGTCCCTGCTGAACCGGCCAAGATCGAAACCATCTATGGTTGGCTTTAGTGTCTTTTTTCAACTTATGTTACTCTCAACTCTCAAGTGATAATCACTCATTTATTGCTATATATTATGTAAACATTAACCGTTTCACTGCCAACTTTCATGGTAGAATATTAGTATTTGCAGGACATGAGGTCAGTAACGTTTAGGGTCACTGCATTAACTCCCCTGGAAAATTCATGGTCACTTCATTGATTGTAACCTTGTATTGGGTAACCAACATATGGTGCCAAGAACACTCTTTTATATGGTGTGGATATGTTTGATGGCCAAAAATAGCAATCAAATAAATCATTTTCAAGTAGTGGTGTTAATTAAATTGTTCCATGAGAGTGATCATCTACTTGCTTATTAAATACCTTACCATACTCAATTCCTACCTGACAGTACATATTCCAATGTGATTCTATTCCACCACTCTTCACAGGCTTATGGATGTTAAAGTAGTTGTAAATCTGAATTCTATACATAGTAGGGTGGATGTGGTCTACTGTACATCAATAAAGCATTAGAGATTAGATGTGAAGATGCCTGTAACAGAACCGGACCCCAACTACACTTGGGTATTTCTGTTATACTCCTGCTTTCCTGTCCGAACACAGAGCCACGGACACCACCGCTGACCGAGACTAGACAACACCAGTCTTGTATTAAACCAGGAAATATACTGCTTTATTTTAACACAGACACAAGATATAAAACATTCAAGGGAACAACCCACCTTCCTGCATATGGACACAGGGCGGGGCAAACCAAATCTAGCAACCAGAGACACCCCCAACCAAGCCAATACACAAACACATACATCCCATAATAGTTTGCTCCCAAGCAAGACACACAATAGAACAATGGGATGCACCACATGGCAGTAAACAATGAACAATCCCCACACCCCACCTATACATGTCTACACAATATCAGGACATTCCACCCTGTACCCCTAACAGGCACAGGGTGACTTACACATAGGAGGGATATGGGGAGCTGAGACAGGGGTCTCACCGCCCCTCCAAAGTAAACTGTGTTCCATGGGCCCCCCACCCAAAGTCACTCCTGTCCAGGGGTGGACTGAGAACTCATGGGGCCCCTGGGCAATAGGGGATCATGGGGCCCCTGTGTCCTGGCCCAAACTCAAAAAAGCCTATGAAAAAGGTACTAGGGGCATCTCATGGGGCCCCCTACTGACCCTGGGCCCCCGGGCAGTGCCCGAGTTTCCAAATGGTCAGTCCGCCCGTGCTCCCGTCACAATGCCCATATACATTAGTTGACAGCCTCTTGATATGACATTTTTAGGACAGATCAAGAAAATGACCCAGTGTCTATGGGGCAATGCACTGAAGTCCTGAACAAGTGTTCCTCGGGGGCAAAACAAATGAGAATGTTAGAGAACCTAAACAATCACTATTGTTTAACTCCAGACCTGAAAAGGTCTGATTGGGGGGGTCTCCGCCTGCATCCTGCATTGCCCTCTAGTTGCAGGAAAGTTCCTGTCTAGAGGAGAATTTTGGACATGAGATTGATGTATGGTGAATGCAAGTCTGACCATTCTCTAAAAAACTAGGGCCAGCCAAAGACCCCTGATACCTCTTTCTTAACCGCCAAATATAGTTCTGTGGTGAAGGAGAAGGCAAATGGCAGCTGGAGAGGACAAGGGTTAAAGTTACCTACCTGATATTGATCAAAGAAAAAAAAACAAGATAAAAGGAAAATGTATATGGCACACAAATACACATAACATACTCACAACACAACTACTCAGATATATCGTCTCTATTATATGCATGCAGTCCCCGAGTTATAAATGTTTGAGTTACAAACAACTTGAACTTATGAACTTAGGGAGAAACAGGAAGAGGAAAACTACCCCTAGAAGGGAAAATTACTTCTGTAAGAGTTATCATGGGAAAAAGGTGTCTCCACTCAAGATTTATCACCAATCCTTGTTTCCACAACAACCCAAAATTTTCAAAGTCCAATTGTTACAGGGACAGAAGGTGAGGTGGAATCTTGTGAAGAAGGACACAGAAAGTAAAACAAACATTGCAGGGGTGTTAACCCTTCCCTATGCTATTCAAAAAGCTTCAAAATTATTTCTTTGGTTGGAACGGCACTTAAAAAATTTACTTGTTCCAACTTACACAAAAATTCGACTTAAGAATAAACCTACAGAGCCTATCTTGTTTGTAACCTTGGGACCGCCTGTACAGTATATGTGCCTGCAGAGGCATGCACTCAGAATGCCTAATAATTGACACCAAGATATTCCTTTGTCAGCATCCCATGTGGCCCTATAATGTTATGTTTTATCCATGTTATGTGATCACCAAATAAATGTTTAGACATCTCAAAGATCCTTGATGTGTTGAAGATATGTATTCTTTGGCCATTGAGTCTGATGTGGCACCAACACAAATCTTTTTTTTCCAGAACGTCTTTAGGTGTCATGCACACAGGTTGTTTTCCTAGCTCTCCTAGAAGCCTTTCCTCCTGTAAAAGTGTGTAACGTGTTTAGGTGTATTTAGCCGCGTCAAACATTTGATTGTTAATTGATTTCATTGGCCAGAATAAATCATTTATTCTGGCCACTGAAATCAATTAATGTTCAAGTGCTAAACGCTCATAGCGTTAACACACATTTAGACAGGTTTACATGCATTTAGAGGCATTTTTCTGACAAAACTCTGCTGCTCCAGAATGCACTGGCATTTTAGCTCTTTATTAGCAATAGAAACTGACAGGGGTTCTAATTCTTCTCCACACCAAACTTGCTCATCCATGTCTTTATGGACCTTGCTTTGTGCACTGGTGCGCAGTCATGTTGGAACAGGAAGAGGCCATCCCTAAACTGTTCCCACAAAGTTGGGAGCATGAAATTGTCCAAAATGTCTTAGTATGCTGTCACCTTAAGTTTCCTTCACTGGAACTAAGAGGCCAAGCCCAACCCCTGAAAAACAACCCCACACCATAATCCCCCTCCACTAAACTTTACATTTGGCACAATGCAGTCAGGCAAGTACCGTTCACCTGGCAACGGCCAAACCCAGACACATCCATTGTATTGCCAGACAGAGAAGCGTGATTTGTCACTCCAGATAACACATCTCCACTGCTCTAGAGTCCATTGGCGGTGTGCTTTACATCACTGCATCGCACTTGGTGATGTAAGGCATGGATGCAGCTGCCACCATCGAAACCCATTCCATGAAGCTCTCTACATACTGTTGTTGTGCTAATCTGAAGGCCACATGAAGTTTGGAGGTCTTTAACTATTGACTCTACAGAGAGTTGGCGACTTCTGTACACTGTGCGCTTCAGCATGCGCTGACCCCACTCTGCCATTTTACATGACCTACCACTTCGTGGCTGAGTTGCTGCTGTTCCCCGTTGCTTCCACTTTCTTATAATACCACTAACAGTTGACCATGGAATATTTAGTAGCAAGGAAATTTCACAGATGGACTTATTGCACAGGTGGCAACCTATCACGGCACCACGCTTGAATTCACTGAGCTCCTGAGAGCGACCCATTCTTTCACAAATGTTTGTTGAAGCAGTCTGCATGCTTAGGTGCTTGATTTTATACACCTGAGGCCATGGAGGTGATTGGAACACCTGAATCCAATGATTTAGAGAGGTGTCCCAATACTTTGCCAATATAGTATGTATGAAGGTGAGTTAGAGACCTTAGAGTGTAAACTCCTTGAGGGCAGGGACTGATATGAATGTACAATGTATATATAAAGCTCTGCGTAAATTGTTGGCACTCTATAAGTACTTCAAATAAATAAATGAAACAATAAATAAATAAATAAGTCTATCAGCACTATATTATCTCCAGGCACAAGAACACATGCAGAAAGCTTTAGAACTAGTTTCATGAACTCTATTATCTGCCTGTCACAAATAACACTTTCTAAAAAAAAAAAAAAAAAAAAATAGCAATGAAATGCCAGAATGTGCAAAAATCACAGCTCTAATTAAATAATCTCTTGGTATAATTGAATCCTTTGTTGTATTTGTTCAGCCAAGCACTACAAATAATGCACTGCAGGTAACTAGTGTAAAGCAAAGTGTGGAAATATTCTCATACATGGGAATTTATCTTTTGGCTGTGATCTCTGTTGAATTCAATAGATCCCACACAATGTTTTCAAGCTGGAAGAATCCACAACAAGCATCACAAATAATGCACCACATGTGACTACTATACAGCAAAATATAGTGTCTCCATGCATATGAAAGTATGTTTCATTTGACTGTAATCTTCACTGTAATTCAGTAATTCCTTCAGAATGTGTTCAAGTTAAGAAAATCCACAACAAGGAGTCTATTATTCCACCGGGGATCAAGGTACATATATACTTGAAATTGCGTTGCTTGCTAACACATTCACAGTATAGCCACAGAGTTTCAACAGCTCTATGAGTCATACTGTATATTTCAGTAGATATAGAGAGCATACAATTTGCCCAAATTATAGGTAAGTACCACTATATATGAACACCAACATTCCATGGAAGAAAAATCACAAATCAGCGGAATCACAGTCTGGGCACAATATTAATATGATATTAATCATAAGTAACTGTGAATTTGAGTAAAAGCACCGTTATCCAATGTAAGTATGGCACAATACTGTACAGTATATAGAGTATATACACCCAACGTCCATTTTATCAGGTACACCTGTTCAATTGCTTGGTAACACAAATTGCTAATCAGCCAATCACATGGCAGCAACTTAACCTCCTTGGTGGTATTCCTGAGTGTAGCTCGGGGTAAAGTTTCAGTACCACAAGCGGTAACCCCGAGCTAAACTCGGGCTTACCATGTGGCGCTGCTCCAGGATCCTTCGGTCACTTACCTTGTCCTGCGCTCCAGCGATGTCCCTCCTGCAGTGTCCCCGGCAATGTAATCCAGCGGATGCCGGCATCTGTCATCTGGGTTCTGTTCCCTGCGACGTCGGGACGTACGAGGACGGAACTGGCGGGAAATTTGAAAATGACAAAAACTGACATTCACTAAAATCACATAGTAAAACATTACTGTATCAAACCACATACATTTTGTCCCGAGTGCTTTGTCCTGTGCCCTGCCTGCATTTTTACTGTTCTTTCTGCCTGGAAACTGAGAAATGTCCATGGCGTCCAAAAAGCGTCCCTTTAGGTCAAAAGCAGCTTTAGACCGGCTAGAGAACAGCGATAGTAAATCAGAACTACTTGCAGAATTGAGTGATAATGATTTGTGGGGAAATTCGTCATCAGACACTGAAAACGATTTTGTGACTTTGCTCAGTGATGTGCGAACTTGGCGCTATATTTAAGATTTCAGTGTTTTTGGTTTGATTATATTATTGAAATAAATGTATTATTATTATATTATTATTTTTTATGATTGTTTATTAAATTATAATTTATGATTTCGTGTTTCAAGTTTTATCATATCCGGAATGTTTACTAGACTCTTGTCCGGACAGATTTCAGTGAGTTATTCCTAAAAATTACAGGCCTACAATAAAAAAAATACATATTTCCATGCAAAAAATGTACCGCTTTGAGCACAGAAATATGGACATAATCAGACTGCTAGAGAGGTTAATGCATTTAGGCATCTAGACAGGGTGAAGATGACTTGCTGAAATACAAACCGAGCATCAGAATGGGAAAGAAAGGAGATTTAAGTGACTTTGAACGTGGCATGGTTGTTGGTGCCAGATGGGCTGGTCTGAGTATTTAAAAACTGCTGATCTACTGGAATTTTCAGGCACAACTATCTCTAGGGTTTACAGAGAAAAGAAAGAGAAAATATCCAGTGAGCGGCAGTTGCGTGACGAAAATGCCTTGTTGGTGTCAGAGGTAAGAGGAGAATGGGCAAACTGGTTCAAGATGATAGAAAGGCAACAGTAACTCAGATAACCACTCATTACAACCAAGGTATGCAGAATGCCATCTCTGAATGCACAACACGTCGAACCTTGAGGCAGATGGGCTACAGCAGCAGAAGACCACACGGCCGCCACTCCTGTCAGCTAAGAACAGGGAATGGAGGGTACAATACACACAGGCTCACCAAAATTGGACAATAGAAGATTGGAAAAATGTTACCTGCTCTGATGAGTCCCGATTTCAGCTGCAACATTCAGATGGTAGGGTCAGAATTTGGGGTAAACAACATGAAAGCATGGATCCATCCTGCCTGTACCAATGGTTCAGGCTGGTGGTGGTGTAATGGTTTGGAGGATATTTTCTTGGCACTTGTAAAGTGTACCTAATAAAGTGGCCAGTGAGTGTATACTTAATGCAACAGTAGCCTCAGATATGCACTAAAGAGAGCTCCAATATACATTGTAGAAAGAATAGCATGATAAATGTGGCATCCATACTTAATATCCCATCATCCATACAAAATGTGGAGGATTGAAAACTTTTTCAATGTACTCTATAACTCTACATACTCTGTAGGTGGAATAGCATATTCCCCCTTGATAACGTTCTTTGACGTTCACATGTATCTGTAGTAAAGTTCATCACACCACACTAAGTATTCATATACTGCAAAGCCAGATTCTACAAACCTAAAATGCTCAGAGAAGTCTGTATGTATAAACCAGAACAATCTTGCCTTTGTGTCTCAAGAAAATGTACCTGAGGATAAGAAATGTGTGCCAGTGTGGGCCCTTCAAACACGCGACACGTCTTTCTGATGTGCATTTCCTCCACAATGGACGTCCTCAGAGTCATGGCATGTTGTGACTGAAGCTCAGTGGATCTCAGTGGATCTTGTAATCGTATGGCTCAGGTGCAGACTCTAGGTCTGGTGCTCTACTGGAATTTCTGGTTATTGGAATACTGTTGTGTCTCAGGTACCAATATCTCAGAGTCTCAAGTGCACAGGAAGTTTATAAATTCAAAAAATCAAAAAAACTATTTTTTATATATACTTTCACATTTACTATAGCAAATATAGGTTGTAGTTGAAGAAGTTGTCCATTCAAAATAACTATAAGGGCTCGTTCACACTAGGCTGTTTTGCCAACGCTTGCCAAACGCCCCTATAGCATTTGGCAAGCGTTGGTCCGGCATTTGCGGAGCGTTATTAACGCTCGGCAAACGCTCCGCAAACGCCACATGCGCGGTTTAGCGGAGGTTGCTAGGCGTTTGCCGAGCGTTAATAACGCCCCACAAACGCCTATAATGCAGTTTGAGTGGTGTTCCACAAACGCCCCGCAACCGCGTCGCAACCGCACCGCAAACGCCGGCCGGGCGTTTGCGGAGCGGCACCATAGACGAGAATAGGAGGCTTCAAAGCCTCCTGACTCGTCCAGAGGCGTCCGTTTTGCCGCGACGCGACGCAAACGCTCCCGTTAGAACAGCACCATGTGCTGTAATGTGCAGAATTGGCAGAGGCGTTCGGGAAGCGGTAAAAACGCTTACCAAACGCCTCTCTGCCGCCTGCACACAATGCTAGTGTGAACGTAGCCTAAGTGTATCAAATTAAATTGATAGTGATTAGTCAGAAAATTCAATATTCTAAAAAATGTGGTGATATTTCACAAAAGCTTAAAAAATAACATTATGTGTACACATAGAATACTCCCAAAACTTTGGAAAAATATACATTAATGTGAAAAAAATTCATGGGTCTAGCTAGAGCAACTCCAGATCACAGGAAGCAACTAAAATTATTTGCCTTGTTAATAGTTAGATATCAATATGCATTTAATTGCTGGATTTAACTTCTTTTTATACTATACTATAGTATAGTATAGCTCCACCTCCGCAACATCTCCAAGATACGCACATTCCTCACCCCAGACACCACCAAACAACTTGTAAACTCCCTCATCATCTCACGCCTGGACTACTGCGATTCCCTTCTCACTGGCCTACCCAAGCGAACGCTATCCCCACTCCAGTCGATCCTAAACTCAGCGGCTAGACTCATCCACCTCACCAACCGCTCCACATCTGCCACCCCCCTCTGCCAATCCCTTCATTGGCTCCCGATTGCCCAACGCATCAAATTCAAACCGCTAACTCTGACCTACAAAGCCATTCACAATGCCGCCCCAAACTACGTAAATTACCTGATACCCAGATACTACCCTACCCGTGCCCTACACTCCTCACAGGGCCTCCTACTCTCTAGCTCCCTGGTCTCCTCCTCCCATGCCCAATTGCAGGACTTCTCCAGGACTTCCCCCATCCTCGGGAACTCCCTACCCCAATCCATCAGACTGTCGCCTACCCTCTTCACCTTCACCCTGAATACCCTCCTCTTCAGGGAAGCCTACCCCAACCTCACCTAACACCCGACCTCACCCAAAAACTAACCTCCTCCACTCCTCCCTCCACTCCATCCCCCACAGCCATCTCCTCCTGTGCCACCTTCCCCTCCCTCCTAGACTGTAAGCTCGAAAGAGCAGGGCCCTCAAACCCCTCGTGTATTGTATTGTTACTGTCTTGTCTCATGTTCTGTCCCGTCTTGCTACTGTACAGTGCTGAGCATACCCTTTGGCGCTATATAAATACTGTAAAATAAATACTGTATAATAATAATAATAGTAGTAGGATTTTATTCCATTTTCTGCCTTTTCTACATCTATGTACTGCTTTTAAATTGGAACTAAATTCTCACAAACAACATGGACTACCGTATTTTTCGCTCAATAAGACGCACCTGACCATAAGGTACGCCTAGGTTTTAGAGGTGAAAAACCAGAAAAAAAATATTCTGAACCAATGGACTGCAGACATAGTAGAGAAAATGACCAGAGACTGCAGACATAGTACATGAGATGACCTGAGACTGCAGACATAGTACAGGAGATGACCTGAGACTGCGGACATAGTACAGGAGATGACCAGAGACTGCAGACACAGTACAGGAGATGACCAGAGACTGCGGACACAGTACAGGAGATGACCAGAGACTGCAGACACAGTACAGGAGATGACCAGAGACTGCAGACACAGTACAGGAGATGACCAGACACTGCAGACACAGTACAGGAGATGATCAGAGACTGCGGACACAGTACAGGAGATGATCAGGACTGCGGACACATGACCTGAGGCTGCAGACATAGTACAGGAGATGACCAGAGACTGCGGACACAGTACAGGAGATGACCTGAGACTGCGGACACAGTACAGGAGATGACCTGAGACTGCGGACACAGTACAGGAGATGACCTGAGACTGCGGACACAGTACAGGAGATGACCTGAGACTGCGGACATAGAACAGGAGATGACCTGAGACTGCAGACATAGTACAGGAGATGACCAGAGACTGCGGACACAGTACAGGAGATGACCAGAGACTGCAGACACAGTACAGGGGATGACCAGAGACTGCGGACACAGTACAGGAGATGACCAGAGACTGCGGACATAGTACAGGAGATGACCAGAGACTGCGGACACAGTACAGGAGATGACCAGACACTGCAGACACAGTACAGGAGATGACCAGAGACTGCGGACACAGTACAGGAGATGACCTGAGACTGCGGACACAGTACAGGAGATGACCAGAGACTGCGGACACAGTACAGGAGATGACCAGAGACTGCAGACAGTACAGGAGATGAGCAGAGACTGTGACAGTACAGGGGATGACCATAGACTGCGGACACAGTACAGGAGATGACCAGAGACTGCAGACAGTACAGGAGATGACCAGAGACTGCAGACAGTACAGGAGATGACCAGAGACTGCAGACAGTACAGGGGATGACCAGAGACTGCAGGCATAGTACAGGAGATCACCAAGAGACTGCGGACAGTAGAGGGGATGACCAAAGACTGCGGACAGTACAGGAGAAGACCAAGAGACTGCGGACCTTTAGGGAGCGAGCGGGAGCAGGTACCTGAATTTGACAGGTACCCGCTCCCAATTCCGCGGGTACCTGTTCTCCCTTTAGTGCGGGCACCCGGCTGACAGCCGGGTGCCCATTGCGCATGCACTAGAAGCGCTGCGCTTTGTGATTGGCCCGGCGTCTTCTGGGACCTGTCATGTGTCCCAGAAGACTCCGGACCATTCACACAGCGCAGCGCTTCTCGTGCATGCGCAGTGGGCACCCAGCTGTCACAGCCGAGTGCCTACATGAAAGATGCCGGCGCGGGAAGACTGTACATCGCTGGACCGAGGAACAGGTAAGTTCCTGCTGCAGAGAAGAGCTGAGCGGCAGGCCCGGTATTCTGACACTGTGACGGTGGTGGAAATACCGGACCAGCCGCTCCATATTCGCTCCATAAGATGCACTGACATTTCCCCCCCTTTTTTGGGGGGAAAAAAGTGCGTCTTATGGAGCGAAAAATATGGTATTTTTATTCATTATGCTACTATAGTAAATAGATAGGAAAGTAGATTATATTTACTTGTTTTAATTTTTTATTTACATTTCTTTAGTTGGTTCCTGGCTTAGATCAAAATTATGTCATACAACCCAGGAGTCTTCATGGGCATTTTTTTTCTTTCATTTGGATGAGGGGAGGAGGGCAGCTAAGCACACCCTCTTGTCTAAACTAAGGACAGATGTATTCCAGAAAGTAAATGCTACACAAATCACCTGCCTTTACTCAAGATAGCCATGGCTAGAAATACTAGGGGGGTAGGCCCAAGCCCAGGGGGCCCTTCTCTTGGAGCCTCGTGACGGAACGCCAAGGCCTGGTCGCAAGTGCAACCTTTGCAACTCTGGTAGTTCTGCCACTGCTGTAAGTAGTTTGTTTTTTTTGTTATTAAGTGTTCTTGCATGGCAAGACCACTTACTGTTATCTCACATATATATTCTTATTATTATAGCCAAATTTACCACCCTAACTCCTCCCACAGTTTTTACACTACATAGTAATATACCGAAACTTGCGGATTGTTCCCGATTGGTGTGCTATTACTTTGTGGAACGTTTCGCCAAATGGTTCATGAAATATCGGCGTTTTTGTGGTGGCATTGGTCCCATAGGAATGAATGGCGCAATGTTCAAAACTAGAGTGGGAGCTGACAAAAGCTAGAGTGTGAGCTGAAAAATCAGGACATGATTTCTAAACTGCCATCACTCCCTCATTTTCAAGCCCACCTACACAAATCTTATATCAAAACGTTCAGCTATCCCTGCTGCCACTAAAAATGTCCACGGCTAAGCCATAATCCTGATAGTTTTCACAATATGACCATTTGTTTGCAACTCACGCCTCCCATTGACATTCATTGAAACTCCACTCTAGACACCTAAAATTTGAAGGGCAATTTCTAAACTACGAATGTGCCTTCATTTTTAATATTTCAGAGACATACTATGCATCAAAATGTAGGTCTGGGTTTTGTGATTCTCACAATATAAAGCTCTTCGGTGTAGGATTTATAATTTTAAAACTAAAACCGTTTGAAGATGACAACCGCCAGTGAAGTGAGCAAGTTGGAGCAGTTTGTTTTTAACCGCTCCTCTGCCCTTGCTGTAGAGTGAGATGCCATAGGAACCCAGGTGTGTGAGCAGGCAGCACCCCAACTCCAGTTGCAGACTACTGGTGGAGGCAAGAACACTTCACACAATTTACCCAGAAATTGTAGCTTTTCTAGTTATTATTATTATTTGCCATTTTATGTATTTATTTATTTATTTTTTTACTATTTTTTTTTTTATTATTATTTTTTATATTTTTTTCTTAGGAGCCCTGTTGAGTGACATCTCACCTTTGAGACAGAGAAGGGAGATTGAGGACACAGCCCTCAATCTCCATCTCTGCAGCCTCAGCTGCACAGAATGAATGGACAGGAATAGTGCTGTAAAGAGCTTCCTGTTTATTTATAAAATAAAACATAGTAAACACAGTTTACTATGCCTCAGTTATGAATGGACAGAGTCAGTGATCGATACCGATCACTAACTGTCCAGTGAGACCAGGAAGGGGCCTGTAAATTACAAAATTACTGGCCCCTTCCCCCACTCTCCATCCTGACAGATTCCCTGCAGCAGCTGGAGGGAGAGGGGATGAGTACACAGATGTTCGGGACTGCAGGAGATGGAGAGGAGGGGCAGCATATAGAGGAACCAATCTATCCATTTCTCTCCTGCAGCAGCTGAATGCCTGCTTCTCCTCCTCTCCCTCCTGCAGGCATTCAGTGGCTGCAGGAGAGAACTGGACAGATCAGTTCCTCTATATGCTGTCCCCCCGCCCCTTCTATCCAGATGCCAGGCAAATGCCCGGTGTGCCCTCTGGCCAGTCCGAGCCTGTAAGGGGGTGTTTTTCTCAACAATATATAGCATGGAGACACGGATGGATGAGTGTGTGTTTGCTGTGAATATTAAGGGTCATTGCATACTGGCTTGTATGCCAGTGCTCTTGGAAGAAAAAAAAAGGATCATTTTGAGCTTTTTTTTGTACTAGCGTTTAGGTGAGTTTAGCGTTTTTTTTCTGACAGAAAACTGCTGTAAAAAAAAACGCAAAACAGGTTTTTTTTCTGTCTCTAAACGCTGAGCCTAAAACATGCCAGTGTGCATGGATCCAAAAATAAATTCAACAGTGTTTTCACTTTGTGGTGCTCAGATACAGTAGATTTCCACTTTAACACTACAAAGCGTAGTCTTTCAGATTTGCTGTTGTGTTTAAAAATGAGGTGTCTTGCTACTGGTGATATCATGTTATAGAATGTGATGCCATATATAATCAGATATCCATTTCTTAAACAATTTTTCTGTTTTTCCAATGTAGAAAACGTTGCACATGAAATATATATATATATATATATATATATATATATATTTATTTCACTTTGTGTCTCACAGTTTGCAAAATGTTTGGATGAAAAGCTTTTTCAAGGTGGTAAATTAATTCTTGTCCCCACTTGTAAAAATGTATCGAATTGACATTTCTGTCAAGGGTAAGTACCCATATATCTGCAGCACTGTTTTGGTTTAGCACGATCGTATTCACTGCAAGTTAATAAATCTCTAAGTGATTTGGATTTCCCATATTTGACTCAAGGAAAATAATGCACGTTTGTGCCAATGTTTGTAGCATATTATTCAGATTTACACATTTACTTTTTGTCCTCTGTGAAAGGAGCAGCAATCAGTCACATGCCCTTGACCGGTCATGTGATGTCTTTCCTCTTACTGGTACTTGTTTCCCCATTTATTAAAATTAATGGGGCTTTGCTTTAGAATTTTAAAGCAAGCAAAATCGCCAAGCACAGTGTTTTATAAATGTGCCTTTTTTTTTAGAACAAAGCAGTGGTATAGCTGCAGTAATGCCATACTTTACATCAGGGGTCAGCAACCCATAGACTGATATCTACCATTAGATCGTAGCCAAGTGACTAGTAGATCACGATCTGAGCTTGCTGACCTGTCATCCTAGAGCATAAAACAGATTGCAAAGTAGAGGGACTACTTGTAAAGTTCGGGCTGTAGTAGGGAGCAGGAACCGCATAAGCTGATGTCTCCTCTGTAGTGCTGGCTCTTGTTCCATTTGGAGTGATACCAACTGCACTCCACCTTTTATCCTGGCTAAAGGTCTCCAGATGCTTTTGGATGCAATATGCATGGGTGTACAAGGGTGTACAAAGGTGTATCAAGATGGCCACCAGTCCGGAAGTGCGTCACTACGTTGGGCCGACGCATTGCGTCACAATACCATGTGACTTCCTCAGTGAGCCCTGCATCCAAAAGCATGTGGTTGGAGCCCTGAATTTTACTATTCTGATGTAAGTGTGCATTCTATTGTTTACTATACTTGGCAATAAACATACTACACAATGGAAGCTTGTGTTTTATGTTCCATATGAGTTGTTTGCGCAGCATTTGATCTTGCTTGGAGAAGGAGCCATTATTGAAGTGCTGATCCCTGGGGGGAGATTTATATACAGTGGGAGCAGCCGTTTGGAGTGATACTTACCTGGAGGATCTGTGAGAGGGATCCTATTAAACGTTTTGACTCGCAAGGGTCGAATCTTTAAGGTGAGAGGCTGATTTAGCCGGTGTTCGGATGATCTTCTGCTCAACTATCAACCCACTTTTGTACACAAATACCAGCACAAGTGTTTTTTGTTCACCTGAGTGTGATCATCCTTATTTGGACTTTATATACACGGAAATATATTTTGTTTGTGTGCAAGTGCACTTATTGAGTTCACATATATGCACGTTTTGATTTATTCATTATATGGGGTATGTTTAGGTACATATATATGTTAATGCACATTGTTTATGTATATGTATATATATATATATATATATATATATATATTCACTTATAAAAAGCACGTATTCTCTTTCAGTTGAAAGGATTGATTTTTCACTATAGGAATCTAGATTCATTCACATGTGTGTATTATGTGCATGATTTCACTTTAGTGGACACTAATTTTGTTCATTTATTTGATATTTATTTACTAGGTGTTTTATTTTTTTCTCATGTT